AGATAGAAGGATCGCGAAGAAACTGTGCGCACGTGAGGCGTACGTAGAAGATACACAGGGCGTACGCAACAGAGGACCAAAACCCTAATGTGTGGTCTTGCCCGTTATTTAAACACCTTTAAGCCTTTGGACCCGACTTTATTCACCCGTAGAGCCTCATTTACGTCCCTCTTGGATGTGAAGCAACTCCAGAGACTGAGATGTCTAGATCTGAGCTTTGTATGCATGCTAAGTGCATAATGTTATGAGCTTGGTGGGTGCTAAGACTCTATGCATGATTTGAGAGCTCTTACTTAAGGTCTTAGAGTGAGAAATGAAGTTTGAGGTCCTTCATAGCATGCAAGGTCATAAAGTTGCCAACTTTATGACCTAGGTCGTTAAGATGTGCTCAGATCTAATTTTGGGATGTTGATCTATTGAGTATAAGAACTTAATGGAAAGAGTGCTTAATCTGTTCATATGATGGGCGTAGCATAGAGAACGTCGCGCGTAATGTGCAGAAGCCTGGTACGTTGCGCGTACGATGGTGGTATGCATGGCGTATGCACCCCTGATGGACTTGGACTTGTTTTGGGCCCATAAGCCTTTTGGGCCTTAATCTATCTTTAGTTCTGACCATAATTCGAGTTAATGGGTCAACTGATCAGTCTTGGGCCGAAAGTATTATAATTGGACCTTGATGGGCCATGTGGTCCATTAATAAATTTTGAATGTGGACCTTGGGGCCCATTAGCTAAGGAAGACTCTTAGGCCATTAGGAAAGGACTTTGGGGTTGAGCTTTCAGTTTGGCCATGATCAAACTCTAATCTTAGGTTAATATTGTTATTGTTTAGCACTAGTGGTTTCGGACTGTTAAGAGAGTAGCTATTGTATTCAGCAGTTGGAGGTGATTCTTCTCACCATACCTATGGGTCTACGGCAGCAAGGCCAGCCCATTAGGTGATCATGTTATGTGTGTGTTATTCATTTATGAATTGATATGTTATGTGATATTATGTTGGTATGGAAGACACCGGGGGGAGCCCGTGGCATTGGATATAAGACCATGTGGGGTATCCCATGGAATTCCTAGGTAAAGACCATGTGGGGTAGCCCATGGCATTGGATGTAAGACCATGTGGAGTAGCCCATGGAAGTCCTAGGTAAGGACCATGTGTGGTAGCCCATGACATTCTTGATGGATTACATTGCATGGTTTCTGTGGCATGTTATAACTTTATTAGCTAACAGGATATGTGTATGTGAATATGTGTGGTATGCTCTGGGAAACTCACTAAGCATTTCACTTAAAGGTTGTTGATTTGTTTCAGGTACTTCTGAGCCCAAGGGCAAGGGCAAGGCGTGATGACGTGGCGTGCACTCTATCTCTCTTTTTTTTTTTTTTAATGTAATTGGGACCCTCTGACGTTTTAAAGGAAAACAATGATGTAATGAATGTTATTTTGAAAACATATGTTTGGGAAACTATGGTTTATGAGATTGGTTTTGATTAACTTAAAAATGAAAATTTTTCTTTGTAAAATTGGGTCGTTACACTTCGATTCTTTGTATACATTTGAAACAATCTAATTGTAGATTTACAAATAATAGTGTAAGCTTACGAGACACAAAATCAAATCTATAGAGATGAATTCTTCTTACAGGCGAAGGTATTTCAAACATAAAAGGAGAAACATTAAACAACACAGCAATTACAGAATGCGTTGATAAGCAAGAGAGGGTGAACGATCGATTGGATGAAGCTTAAGGGCCGGAGGGAAGATTGTGTGTATGTGTGTGTTGTTTGATTCAATAAAATAGATCAAAAATCAAAACTTACATTGATTTTCAACGATGTATCTTCATTGATAAGTGATTCCCTCGGATGCAACTTTTTCCGAATTGAAAGTGCACACCATTAATCGTCGATTCTACTTCAACATATCTGATTGTCAGTCAATCTCCGTCGATTTTAGGCATCCAACTCATCGGAAACATGTATTTGGTCAAACCAGATGTCGTCAACGATCTAAAGATTATCGAATATGGATGGTCGAAGGCAGGATGAGAGAGAGAGAGAGAGAGAGAGAAAGAGAGAGATAGATAGATAGAGAAATATATATATATATATATATATATATATATATATATATATATAGAGAGAGAGAGAGAGAGATAGAGAAGATGAACTGATTAACCAACATATTGAATCTCATCGAAGGGACTAAATTATTTTATCCCTAAAATGTCCTCATTCATTTTAATAAGGCATAGAGGATCAAATGAGAACACCTAAAAGGTTGAGAACGTGAGAACAGTTCTGGACCAATCATTTTATAAAGGTATATTAGTAACTTTATATAAATATTAATTAATGATTTCCTAAAATCTAGGGATAATGATTTTAATTACCTAACAAAATTAATATTTCCTTTTAGTTAATGAAATATATATATATATATATATATATATATATAATATATATATATATATATATATATATATATATATATATATAAATGTTTTTTTATGATTTTTCCCAAAAAAATATTTATGACCGTTTCAAAAAAATTACCTAAAAAAATTAATATTTCCTTTTATTTTAAATCTGAAAAGAAAATCTTAAAAGAATATTATTTTCTACTATTTCACATTTTTGTTTTTCAAAAAAAAAAAAAAATAGAAATCCAATCCCAAATCAATACACTTCCAATCAAAAATGAAAACACATCAAGTTACAAATAATTGAATGCATTTTTCATAAAATGAAAATAAAAAATAGTGTAAACATTATCATTTTTTTCATAAAATGAATACCTCTAATCATAAATAATTACACTCATTCGCATGAATACACTAGTATTCATAAATAAAAACAATCATTCGCATACGAATACATTGCAATTCACAAATGAATACACTGCTATTTATAAATTAATACACATTCTATCATAAATGAATACATGTGATATTCATAACTAAATACAACCATTCACACATAACTACAATGTTATTCCTAAATAAATACAACCATTCACGCACCCTTTAAGAAATTATTACCAAAAAATTCGAAAATTAGGATTTTTTTCTTTCTTTGCCTCTGTTTTCAGAAATTTTTCCAGTTGGTCCTCCCATTGCAACCATTCTACCTCCTGAACACTCAAGCAAAGATTAATACAAAGAAATCCAATTATATATCATCCAATAAACCAAATCACTAAATATACACACCAATTGGCTAACACAACCTTGCACTCTTTCTTATGCTTAGACTATTTCTTCACCCAATTTTACACAAGCACCATTTCAATTCACAATCAATTTAGTACAATCAAAATTACGTCCTTCACATCTAAAAATTGATATGGCCAAATTTTCTTTGATCTTCAAGAACAAATAAAAGTACATCGAAATATAAACTGAATTCGTTTAACTCTTCCCTTGGCTTCTTCCTTCCTTGTCCAAACAAACCAACCAAACACCCCATTGAATGTTGTAATAGTAGCCGACAACCCAATTTCCTTCCTCTTTCTTCTTCCCTCGACAGCAAGAGCACAAATGGTGCTTCTTTCCACCCATTAATCAACCAAGAATCGGATCCAACCACTTGTTTGGACCATTTAAACAAATCAGCCTCAACCCAAACATTTATCAATTTTCAATCAAAAGAAAACATCCCAGTTTATTATCGATAAAAGTCGACAAAAAAAAAAAAATGAAACAAGAAGGTTACCTGTTAGCCGATTGCTTCTGTTTATCTTCGTCCCTTCGATCAGGCAAGAAACCGAAGACCCATCCGCTCATCTTCTATCGACTGGAGCAAAGCACCCACCAAGACCGATGACTCACACCTCACAGTCCAGCGACGGCTGGAATAAGAGGATGCCCTAGGGTTGTGAAAAATGCAGAAGCAGGGATATAGAGGGAGAGATAAGAGAGAGAGAGAGAGACAGAGAGAGAGATTATAGGAATTGCTAAACATAAGTAAACAATCAATTACCATTTTACCCTTATGAAAATTTTAAAGTTACACTTTAATTCCTGTAATTTTAAGAATTTACATAAATGGCCCATTCGATAATAACTTTAAATTTAGTTTTTTAAATGGTTTAGATGTGTTCTCGCGTTCTCAACATTTTAGGTGTTTTCATTTGATCTGCTTTTTCTCTCTCTCTCTCTCTCTCTCTCTCTATATATATATATATATATATATATATATATATATATATATATATATATATATATATATATATATATATATATAAAGTTGGTTATAAGAAATGTATACTAAATTGGATTTAGGCCACAGGTTTCCAGATTTCACACATTTGCCACGCCCTTTTTTGGATTTTATACTTACCTACCTTAAACATCTTTTTCACAAAGACATATAATCATTTCCGCACATCTCCTCCATAAGATCTTCCACTGCCTTTCACTACTGCCGACATTGTCTTCCAATCAGGTCCTTCCACCGCTGCTAGCCACCTCTTCTACTTCATCTTTGGAGATTCTTCTGTTCCATTTCTTGCCGACTTTCTACCGTTCTCTCCCATCTCCGCCATCGCTTACTTATGTCGGTACAATAAATCTCTTCCACCATCTTCTAAATCGACTAAGCTTCCACCTCACATACCAGACCCCCTGCATACCATTGCTCCTCTAAACCCCTCTCATACTCGAATTCCTCTTGATTTGGAGTGAACGGGATTTCAGGGAAACGTCAGTCCCTACCGTGCTCGCCTCTGCTTTCTCCCCGAACGCCATCGAATCTATTTTATTCATGTTCCTTAATCTCCACCAGAATTCTATACCCGTTCCAAATTCCACCGAAACAGATGCATTCTGGAACCACTGTTAGCTTTTCAGCTGCTATGTGTTGCTATATGGTGCTCAAAAGGGAGGAGTGGACAGCGATTATGCAGATAAAACTATCATTCTACTTGCCTTGCCACCTGCTTCTCTCTCCCCCCTTGCTAAAAATCAATTGGGTTCCATTCATTTTGGACAAGACATTAACAAAGTATGAACTTTGAAATTCAGTAATTTTCTTTTATTATGTCATCGAACGCTTCATCAGTACCCGTTTATATTTACTGAATTCAGATGAGATGATGTCGTCTGTTCCAGGTACCTGAGTGGCCTCCATGCTACCCAAGAAAACACTTCAGTTATACCCACCCATCAACTGCTCGATAAAATGCCCGAACCAGATTTTTTATTTTTTTTTGAAATATATCATTCAGGGTAATCTTCATTTTGTGCTCACTTAGCTTTTCACCACATTTGGATTCTGCTCCACCAAGATGGGTCCATTTTGCCCATGGACTACTTCTCTTCTTGTACCAGGTTCCATTTAGATATATTAACATCAGAATCAGTTCTTATAACTTTTGGTATAAATCTTCATTGATTTAATTCCCAATTTCTCAATCTTTATACTACACCTTTGATGCTGTTGATGGAAAACAAGGTAGAAGGACAACTTCTTCTAAAAACAAAAAATATAATTTATTTACACTTGATAGTCAACAGCAAACAAATGCAACACAGGCAAGTGCATTGCATCCATGATCAAACAAATTGAATTCATTGCTTTTACACCTTAAGTGTATTTGATACATACAAACTAATCTGTTACTCTCATGGTCAAATAAAAACAAAACAAAAAATATAATTTATTTACACTTGATAGTAATCTGTATCTGTCTTCTATTACTTGATTCGATCATTTTTCTCCGATTTGTAATTGTGTAAGTGATGGATTCTTTATTGAACTCTGAAGGAGATTCACAGAGGACACAATATGCACTCTTTTAGCTTTATCATCTAAAATATGTGGTGTAACATGTAGGATTTTAGATCCAAAGTTAATTAAAAAAAAAACATGATGAAGAAACTTGGTTTTCAATAATAAATCTTAAACTTTTGGCTCTAGAATGCTTTCAAGATTCAATTTTGACAGCAACCATTTGTTGGGTTGTTATTATTATTGGTTTGTTTTTATAGTGAAGGGTTGCATGGTGATATGAATTGATGGTGTTGGTGTTTGAAACAGTTACCCATGGGAGGTCAAGATAATTTCTCTGACCTTTGACTCTTTTTAAGTTTGTTGACTTGTAGAATCAGTTAAGATATGCAATCAATCTTCATGGTGTCAGAAGTGTGAAAGTAAACATGCTATCCAAATATTTCAATGTTTGATTTGAAGATTCATATTTCATATTCCCAAACTTTTCTTGAATAAATCATGAAGTTTCTACGATAGTATTCAAGATCTTATTGAAATTTACATCAGCAAGCCAAACACAGGCTTAAAGAAAAAAGAATAGGTTTTGGGAAATTTAGCGAGAAAATTACTATTTAGGTAAATGGCAGAGTTAAGACATATCAAACGTGTTGGAACCCTTTTATAGAATCATACTTTATATAAACATTTAGTCGGCTGATTGGTTTACTTACAAGCGCAACCAGACCTTGATTGCCTCTATTGTTCACATAGATAGTTAATTTATTGTTGATCCATGCTCTAATAATTTTATGCAATAGTATTATCTTAGATCTGAGAAAGGTCATTATGTTTCACGTATTGTGTTTATCATCAAAAAGCAAAATCGTCCTTAATACTCAAAGGTTATTCAGATGTGCGAATTAAGATGGGGACGTGATTTGCATGTTATCTAAAATTGGGTATTATTTTATTGTTGGTGACTCTCTTATCTCCTGATAAAGTAATCGATGGTGGTTCACAGTTAGGTCCGGTGTAGAAATAGAGATACGAAATGGATTATTACTTTGTATATGAATGACATTAGGCATTGTAAATAGTAACGATAAGAAATTCATGCCGAGATAAGTTCTTTTTTGCAATATATATATATATATATATATATATATATATATATATATATATATAGAGAGAGAGAGAGAGAGAGAGAGAGAGAGAGAGAGCGAGAGAGAGAGAGAGAATCATTTGAGAACTCATAGTTTCAGAGAACTAAACGTGGAATGTTAGATGAAAAAAAAAAGTCAAGATGTAAGGTGGTATTTTTGTAAATAAATAGAAAAAAAAGGAAAGATATATTAATTAATTTGATTAAATAAATAGAAAAAAAAAGGAAAGATATATTAATTAATTTGATTAGGGGTATTATAAGAAACACAGTTTTAATTAAATTATATCTTGAATATACTGATAAACTAAAACTGCATCTCTCTCTCTCTCTCTCTCTCTCTCTCTCTCTCTGCCCTCATCCTCATAATCACCTTCTTCTCCGATGATTTCCCTCATCAACTTCTTCTCCAACACCGGATCATCTACTGTTTCGATTATCTCAACCTCCATCGCCAATGATTCGCTCATCAAGCTTGTTCGTTTCCCTTATAATAAGCGCTACATCGTCCAAATCTGGAGTTATTGTTCCTTATCGATCTCTCATCTCCGACCGATTTTGAAGGCATCGACTCCGATCCTCTACAATTCCATTGAGATATAGAATTAATCATCTTACTGGAGCCACCGCTAGCCATTCAGAAGTTTAAATTTGTATCAATCCACATTCATGAAGTTTAGATCGCCTAGGGTTCTGCTTACCTCAGCCGGAGAAAACGCGATGCTATTCTTCAAACATGTATTCTTCTCCGCCATTCCCGATCCGGAAACCACCGTTGCCGGCGTCGGACAAGAAATGGACACCATTGCAATCCAGTAATAGCAACAGTCTCTTCTATGTCATCCACAAAGTTCCTGCCGGTGATTCTCCATATGTCAGAGCCAAACATGTCCAGGTGATCAATTTATTACTTTCTCTTTTCACCGATTGTTGGTTTCTATCATTTCTTGCGAATTCCTTTCTCTAGTTATCATTTTTAGAAAGGTTTATAGGTTTTTCTTTTAATGTTATTTTGGTAGAGAATCCAAATGAATGGTGGTCAATTTGTTCTTAATTTGGTGAGAAAACTAACTACATTTCTAAGGATCTCAATTTGTTCGATAAAATGCCAAAGTGAAACGATTCTGAACTAATATTCTGAACTGCTTAAGGGTTTATAACTTTACATGCTGATCTTGTAATCTTTGTTGATAGTTAGTAGACAACAATCCAAGCAAAGTTGTAGAAATCTAGAAATGTAGAATCATGAGTCATCTTCAAAATTTAGTTTTAATTTTTTGATGTTTTGGAATTGAATTAGGTTATTAGGGAACTTGGCGTGGGCTCATTTGCAGCATGACAAGTATAAATCTAAACAACTATGGTTGTTTCTTTTTTACTTAGCTTAATTTATAGAAAGTTCAACGTTGTAATTACATGTAAATCACATATGAATTACATGTGATTCACATGTAAATCACATATGAAAGTTCAACGTTGTAATTACATGTAAATCACATATGAATTACATGTGATTCACATGTAAATCACATATGAAAGTTCAACGTTGTAATTACATGTGATTCACATGTAATTCACATATGAATTACATGTGATTCACATGTAATTCACATATGAATTACATTCGATTCACATGTAAATCACATATGAATTACATGTGATTCATATGTAAATCACATATGAATTACATGTGATTCATATGTAAATCACATATGAATTACATTAGATTCACATGTAAATCATATATAATTCACATATAAATTAGGGAGAATTTCATATATGCCGACAAAACTGCAAATTTGGTCCTTGTGGTTTGCAAAAACCTTTGGATGGGGTCCAAAAAGTTTCCAGCTTGCACCGAAAGTCCAAAATCAAAGTTTTTCATTGTTTTTGGTCCAAAAAAACTTGAAAAGTCGGTTTTACCCTTTTTCATTTCATTTTCTATTTTCTTTATTTATTTTGGTATTTAAATAATTAAAAAAATAAAAAATAAAATCTCTCTCTCTCTCTCTCTCTCTCTCTTTCTCTCTCTCTCTCTCTCCTTTTACCCTTATTTGTTGGACACTATTGTTCTTTACCTTCTTCATTCTACCGTCACTGCCCTTCCTCCAAGAGAAACACCGAATTTCACCATAGTCTTATACCATCAGCATCTTGTAAGCAAATATCGGTCTTCTTACTATCGTTCTTCACCTTCTTATAATCATTAGTTCTTAGATCGGATTGAACGGTTTAGGGTTTTATGCTCCCTCAATTTGGTCACTGAGATTGATGAAGCATGAATGACACATGTGTGGATCATCGATTTGCAGGTTACAATAGAAGAGGGAGATGAAGGTTCAGGTCAGCAATTGAAGTTCATAAGAGTCACCATCAATGTCCTCTAAAATTGTTTTCATCTTTTATCCTCACAATAAAATCGGAGCAAAAACCGTTCCACAGGCCCATTCACCGACCTTCACCACCACTCATCGATTCCGCCATTATAATTGATGATATTACAACGTTTTTTTGAAAACAGATTGTCACATTGATTGGTAATAGAAGAAAGGTTTTAGAACGAGAAAGAAGGAGAGAGGAAGAAATATTTTGGGATGAATGGGTTTTTATTTATTCTTTGGTTCTTGTCGTTGGTATGTATAGTTTATATGCGATTTCATCCACAACTTTGAACCCTGCAATCTTGTTCCTCAGACGACTTTGAATTGATGATTGTAGTTACTTCTCCAGGAGAAAAAGCTTGGGGTGGGGATGCACAAGAAATCGATACAAATATATATGTTTTCTGGACTCAATCCTATTGATGAGATTGTTTCCAGTCGATGTTGGTGCTTTGCGTTGGAATGTGAATATGTGTGTTAGTGTGTTTGGCTTTCAATTTCTTTATATGGCTTGATTTTGGATTTTGTTCATCAATTTGGGGATATCTTAAGAAGATGAAGTTCATGATATTTGAGAAGACGAACGGAGAGAGAGAGAGAGAGTGTGAGAGAGAAGAGAGAGAGAGAGAGAGAGAGAGAGAGAGAGAGAGAGAGAACAGTGAGTTGGGTGGGGATACTTTTTTTTTCTTTTTTCTTTATTTTTAATTAAAATGATATTAGAATAATTATAAAAAATACAAAAAAGAAAATAAAAGGGTATAATAGTCTTTTCAAAAAATTTTGGACCAAAATCACATAAATGTTTTGATTTTGGACCTTCCATGCAAGTTTGAAACTTTTTGGACCCTATCCAAAGATTTTTGAATACCACAAGGACCAAATTTGTAGTTTTGTCATATATGCCTCTCTTAAACTTCAAAAGATCATATTTGTCCAACTTAATTTCTTAATATCATATTTATCCTTCATAAACCTTCAAAATATCATATTTGCCCAAATCATTTTTTATAATGCATTTAATATTTTATAATCATTTTTATACCTTAGAACTATTATAATGATTAAGAAATTTAACCATATTATCCGTACGTCTATTATAATGGAATGAGAACTTCTAAATTATTGGAATGTCGACCTCTTGATAGATAAAAAGATTCATCTTCAACCCTTTCTATGGAATGTATATTTTGATTCTTT